TCACTCACCTGACAATGACAAAGCAACAGAAAGTGAAAGTACAGCTGCACTGAGGACAGCAATCACTCCATAGCACCAGTAAAGCTTAACAGGAGACTCAGCAGAGATGATTCTCAGACATTTTCCTTGGAGCTTTTTACCTGAAAATGTAAATACCAGAACATCAATTTCAAGAACCTACAAGAGCCAGAAAGAGCCAGAAAAAGGTTAGGGTGTCTGCTCAATATTCTAGTGTGATTCTGGAGGTTCTAGCTGGGACAATACGGCAAGAATAAAAAAGAACACTTAGGCCTCATAGAGATAAAAATCTTGATATTCAGACAATATGGATATATCTACACATAAATTTCTAAGATGTCTAATAAAGGGGCTCTAAAAATTATGAACAAGTTTATAATGTTGCAGGAAAATATGTCAATGGGCAAAATAAATGTCATTTTTATATACCAGCAATTGTCAAATGCAAAGAATTGCAATATTCCCAGCATGTCTAAATACACAATTACACATCTAATGAAACACTGGGTTTTAAAAACTCTTAGCACATTGTAGGTACAATTTCTTTTGAGACAGTGACACCTAGACAGACAGATAAAGACAGAGTTAACCCCACACAGAAACAAACAGATAGACAGACAGACAGACAGACAGACAGACAGTCAGACAGTTATAAAGGTACATACACAGATCATGGGGCAGGGGTCCAACTAGCCCATTGCTTATCTTTTTATTAGTTTTTAGGGCCAGAGAAGAATTCTCATTGCACTAAATTCAATTTATTTTTATTGGTATTGTAGGCAAGAAATCTTTGCCTAAGACAAATTCTTATTAATAAAGATTTTTTTCTTTTTTTCTTGAAATAGATTTAAGTTCTAGGCTTCATGTCTGGGTCTGTGATCCGTTTTGAGTCTGTTACAATACACAGGATGAAGTGTGAGTCTTATCATGAAAACCAATTGACTAAGCATCATATACAGAAGAGTTTTCATCCTCTTTCTACTTAAGAATGTCTGTCTTCCCCAGTCTATAGTACACATGCACAATAAACACACATTGATTTTTAAAAAGAAAAATATGTCATATTATGGAATAAAAAGATGCTTATATAATAAATACATGCATTAACTATGCTTAGTATTACCAAAATCTAGGAAAAAGAGTTGAATAATATTTTATCATTTTGTTATAATGAGACTGTATTTCTCTCATGCCCGGTATCTAAGGGAAATGCCCACATTTATATAAAAAAAAACCTGCCTATGCTTATAGCAGATTTATGAATTAACCCTGTCTTTTGCATCAGGTCAAATATCTCCAAGCTTGTTACAAAGTCAAGCAACATTACTCAGAACTGGGGAAAATGACTGAAAAAGGAAACCTGGACATCATGCTTGCACCTGCCACTATCTTATGCTGGTTAAATGATCCTCAGCCTGCTGTCCCCACCGGCCAAACACAGTAAAAATAAATTAAACAAATCCACCCCAACCCAACTGAACTACCAACAAAAACAATGTCTCAGGCTTTTATAATTAAGTTTTTGTTTATTTCTCTTGCCTACAAATACTTGAGTATTATGTACTCTGACAGAATAGCTAATATAAGAGAGCCTTCCTCGAATCTCCACTTCTATAGAGACCCACTGTGACAGGCTAACAGGCAGGTGTTTCAGCTCCTCTGAGGGTCACAGGTGAATCCGTCTCTATCTTTTATTTTACTCAAATTGGATTAAATTACACACCTTTTTTTAACTCTTGCAGGCTGTCTGGAGTAATGAGGTCTGTCTTTAGCATGCCCATGAAAACCTCTTTACTCTTTGCAGCTCTCATTTCTGAGCTGAGAGGAAGAGATTGAACTGAATTCTGGAGGAGGTTTGAATGTTGGAACTGTGGAGGAGAAAGAACAGTGTATTCTGCATATTGTTCTGAATGAACACTTCACAAGCTCAGTCTGGTGATTCATTAACTACTCCATGTGAGTCCTGAACAGGTCACTTCTCAGAACTTAGCTATCTGTTTCCGAGAAAACAGAATTACAAAGAAAGCTTTGGCCATCCTGAGCAACAATCTAAGCACACTTTCTGAGTCATGTCCTTTCCTCCTTTCTCTGTACACTATTTCTGCCCCCCATTTTTTAGTTTTCATTTCATTTTACAAAATGAACACAGTTCTTCCTCCTACCCCTCCTCCCACACCCCGCTGCCTCTTTCCACCCCCCCTCATCTCTCCCCTAAACCCACAACCATTCCACTCCTCCTCACAGCTAAGGGCTCCCAAGAGGAGTCAACATAGTCTGGTACAATAGGCTGGGGCAGAGCCTGGCCCCTCTCCCATGCATTAAGACTGAACAGTGCATTCAACAGCAGGGAATGGGCTCCAACAAGCTAGAATCTGGTCATACATCCAGGAGTCCCTGTGATAGTCCAAGCTTCAGAACTGTCTCCCACATGTGGAGGGCCTAGTTTGGTCCCCTGCAGTCTCCACAGTTCTAGGTCTAGGGTCCATGACTTTCCACAAGCTTGGGTCATAGTCTCTGTAGATTTCCCCATTATGATCTTGACCTCCCTTCCTTATATGTTCCCTCCTCCCTCTCTTAGCCTGACTCCCTGGAGCTTGATCTGGTTATTGGTTGCGGATCTCCTCATCTGGATCCATTAATTACTGGATGAGGGCTCTATGATGACAGTGGATGTATTCATCAATCTGATTGCAGGAGTAGGCCATTTCTGTCATCCTCTCTACTATTGCTAGGAGTCTTAGCCTGGGTCACCCTTGTGGATTCTTGGGTGTTACCCTTGTACCAGGTTTCTCCCTAAGCCCATGGTGGCTCTCTCTCTCTTGAGACATCTCTTTGATTGCTCTTCCACTGCATCCCTCCCCACCTAGCCCATCTCATTCCCTCCTGTTCTCATCCCTTCTCTTCCTCCCCAGTTTGCCCTGTAGATATCATCTAATTTCTCCTCTCAGGGTGATCCATGTGTCCCTCTTAGAGTCCTTCTTTTTACCTAGCTTCTCTGGAGTTGGACTTCAGTCTGCTTATCCTTTGCTTTACATATAATATCCACTTATGAGTGAATACATACCATGTTTGTCTTTCTGAGTCTGTGATACCTCATCACGATTTTTTTCTAGTTCTATTCATTTACCTGAAAATTTCACAAGGTCATGATTTTTACTGCTAAGTAGGACTCCATTGTATGAATGTGCCACATTTTGCTTATCAATTCTTTAGTTGGGGAAGAATTGGCTATTAGTAATAATGCTGCTATGAACATTGTTGAGCAAATGTCT